CTGTATTTACATATGTATCTACATCTGTTATATGAAGAAGGAATAAAAGTTAACGGCGACGTAGTTTCTTTTATTAATGCTGTAAATTCGGCAAGCTTTCGGACTTTGATGTCCTTCGACAGGCAACTTTAAAAAAAACTGAAAGATAATGTTTATATACAGGTAAATATTTACATAATAAGAACTTTTCTTAGCGAATTTTTGATTATTTTACTAAATGATTTCCTCTTTATCTATGTAAACAAATTTTTGTTCTAAGAAAAGGATGACTACCTTAGGATGCTAGGAAAAGGCAAAAAAACCATCTGTTATATGTAGACTGTAATCTCCCAAGCCATATATCTTACATCTACGATATCATTTATTATGTTTACGAAATTATCTACATCTGACAATCCTCTCTACCTCAATCATCAATAATTAAACACCAGCATCAGAAACTAGGTAAATATCGAACTCATTGATATGTTTCTATTATTGGTTTGAAGATTAATAGAAAGTTATTTTATAAGAAATTGCACTTTATATATTTAGATATCTTTAAAGATAAATGAAAGATACGCCATTTTTATGCTACTATAATTATTTTATTCTTTTTACAATTCTTGCACGCAGTGCACATTATATCACAAACATTTTGTTATTTACAAGATGATGATAAAAACGTTCGATTCGTTTCGAATCAAAACAGAGTAAAAGTAATAATATAACACTGATATATTATCTTTAAACTAAACAGATTAGATCACAAATCAAAAGTCTTTTTTACAAGTAAACATTAGAATAACAATCAGGGAGGTAAACAGACAATTAGAGATATCGTAGACGTTGGTGCAATCAATAATGTGTAAAGATTTGAATATGGTTAGAGGAACGACTCGGTTTGTCCGTTATATTGTTATCAATAGAAAAAAACGAGAGACTAGAATTTCAATTTATGAAAACCTTTTGGAAAGTTAATATTTTAAACATGCTGAAATAAATACTCACAAATGATGAGACAAAGGTTTACGTGTATGGATACCAGTCAAATGAATGGGTTGAACAAAGACAGGCCCAAAACACAATCAAAGAACAAAATCAAGATTAAAACGTTGCTGATTACTCTTTTTTTTTCGTTTTTTAAAATCGGTCTTGTTCATTCAGAATTTTTGAAGAAGGTTCAAAAATAGCATATATATACGTGATTTTGGATATTCGACGTTATTACTTGAAACGATTAGACTCAAAATACTTGATTTATGGGAGAAACACTCGGATCTTGTTACATATGGCTTTTTCAAGTGCTCAATATTTGGCGAAGAACGAAACCCATGAACTTCCTTACCCTCCCTATTCCCCTGAACTCTCTCCATCTAAATTTTTTCTCTTACTCAAGATAAAATCTTTCTTGAAGTGTATAAACATTTTGATGATATATGTTCAATTATAGAAAATTCGAAGAAATCGTTAAGAGCCATTCGGAAAAACGAATTTGGTCTATATATTAAGCAGCTAAAAAATAAGATAAAATGTTTAGAAATGTTGTTGTGTAGTGTAAGGATCATACTCTGAAGAATACTATAGTTGTTATATGTGTATCTACTATAATAACACTTTAACAACACACGCACCTTGTCTCCCTATTCAATTATCACACCTTGTATATCACCAATTTCATTCTTATTCCAGAAAATTCCATCCAAAAAGAAATAGAGAATTAACTACCCATATTAACCGGTATTACATATTCTAACCATCCACAATCTCTTACAAGAAAGAAGAGAGGCAAAAAAAGGCAATTATTTACAACACATTAAGGTGTCAGTCAGATAAGATGCCTCCACCCAAGGTAATTATAACTATGAAGAAAGATCAAGAAGTTAGTTTTTTTATCAAAGTAGTTCACCGACCACGTTTTTATCTCTCAGTAATAATTCTGCCAACACTACTATCTGATAAGCATTTTGTTTTAGGTCAGGATAAGCTTTTTTCCACTTAGAGATGGAATCTGTACTTCATCTCTTCAGTACTGCTTATCCCATGTCTATAGTAAAAGCCATGGTAAGTAGAGATTTGTGAATACTTGAACTGTAGGTACTTCAACTTGGTTATTTGCACACACTGGTTGAATTGGGCTTGTGAATTTGGGGTCATTGAATAAACCAGTATGAACAATTTGACTATGAAATATAGAAACATATATTTAGGTATTTATTAAATTAAGAGAATAAGGTGGCTTAAAATCACCTAACAATGGCTCAAAATATCTTTAAAATGTATCATAGATCACCTAACAATGGCTCAAAATAACCTAACAACGGCACAAAATCATTTAATAATGGCTCAAAATCACCTAACAATGGCTTAAAATCTCTTTAAAATGACTCAAAATCTCTTTGAAATGTATCAAAAATCACCTAACAATGGCTCAAAATCTCTTTAAAATGTATAAAAAATCACCTAAAACCGGCTCAAAATCACCTAACAATGGCTCAAAATCATCTAACAATGGCTCAAAATCATCTAACAATGGCTCAAAATCATCAAAATTTCTTAGAAATGTATAAAAAATCACCTAACAACGGCTCAAAATAATTTAATAATGGCTCAAAATCACCTAACAATGGCTTAAAATCTCTTTAAAATGACTCAAAATCCCTTTAAAATGTATCAAAAATTACCTAAAAACGGCTCAAAATCACCTAACAATGGCTCAAAGTTTCTTAGAAATGTATAAAAAATCACCTAACAACGGCTAAAAATCATTTAATAATGGCTCAATATCATCTAACAATGGCTCAAAATCTCTTTAAAATGTATCAAAATATCTTTAAAATGTATCAAAAATCACCTAACAACGGCTCAAAATCACCAAACAATGGGTCAAAATCTCATTAAAATGTATCAAAATATCTTTAAAATGTATCGAAAATCACCTAACAATGGCTCAAAATATCTTTCAACTAAAAGTTGCTAATGGCTTGCGCCATCTGTCGGAATAAATATCAACTAATCATTGATATTTAATATGTTAATTCCGACAGATGGCGTATGTCATCCTTTCGTTGGGAAATCATTCCTTTCTCTCTTAACTTATCAACCTGATCTCAGTACAATTCTACTCTTTTATGCTATTTTTTTAAAGTAACAATAGTAAGCCTCTTTTCTCAATTTAACCTCATACACAGAATATTCAAGGATATTAAGATTCAAGTCTTCATTAAGTATTTCAATACCTTTAAACAATAAACCAACAAATAACAATCAAAAACAACAATTCAATAATAAATCCTTTTAGTTGCAAGATTAGAAGATGTCTTTCTATCTTAATTTATCAACCCCACCCGAGTACAATTCAACATTTGTACTATTTTATTTTCAAAATTAACAATAGTAAGTCTTTTTTTCAATTCAACCTATTAGAATTCAAGGATATTCGGGTTTAAGTCTTTAGTAAGTATTTCAATACCTTTAAACAATAATCCAACAAATAACCAATAAATTCACAATTCAATAAAATAAATCCTTTTTGTTGCACGATCAGAAGATGTCTTTCTATCTTAATTTATCAACCCACCCCAGTACAATTCAACATTTGTACTATTATCTTTTTTTTTAAAGAGCAACAATAGTAAGTCTTTTTTCAATTCAACCTATTTGAATTCAAGGATGTCATGATGGTTGTCAAACAGAAACCATTAAGGGTCACAACTTGATACCCTAATATGATTGAGTGGAGATAACGAAGAAGAAGAAGAAGAGAATGCAAGGATATTCGGGTTTAAGTCTTTACTAAGTATTTCAATACCTTTAAACAATAAACCAACAAATAACCAATAAATTCAATATTCAATGAATAAATTCCTTGTATCAATGTTAAAAAGTGAAATATCAAGTTTCCATGGATAAGTTTCTTTTAAAACATTTTAATTTGCATATCTACAGCTTTCAAGCATATAACCTTTCTACAAAAGAAAACACGATATAATAAATCTCTTGACACATTGTAAATAACATTGCTAATTATTGTAACTATTGTATATACCCTCTTCTACTTGGAGAAGTTGTATAAGACTAAAAGGTCATAACAGGGACTTTTGTTGTTGTTATTACTGTTATTCTTGTATGTACATTTCTGTGCTTGGAGAATCCGTATAAGACTAAATTGTCTTAATAAAGCTTTTTGTTGTTGTTGTATAATAAATCTCGCCAATAGGATACGATTTATAATAAAATAATATCTAATTATATTGTAACAAAGTCTTTATTATTTTATTAGCAGAGTATTATTTTTATGTTTATATTTTGCTATACTCTGTACACTTCCCTTTTTTCTTATCTTTTGTTTTATCACTTATAGTTTGTTCTTGCCTGAAATAAATTGTTTCTCATCCTGAAGTTGGTCTTCCCTAATTTTCCACGTGGCAATATTATAACTCGTATCCTATTGGCTATTTATTGTATCGTATCTTTTCTTCTGTAGAAGAATTCATGATCGAAAGCTGGAAATATGTGAATTAAGATTCAAAAAGAAATTTGCAATAACTTTTGCATATAACACATTTTTAACAATAACAAAAATTTTAATGGTGCAAAAGGTACGCCAAAAAGAAATAAAAAACACAAAAATATAAAAAATATGAATGCGAAGAAGAAAACAATGCAAATTATATATATACTCAAAACAACTATGATGATAACACAATCTGTGAATTACAGAAGCAAACAATATTCACAGAATATTTCACGCTGATATATTACAATACCTATCTCTGGAAACCTAATATTTTCACTTTAATAAAACCAATAATAAAGCTATACAACCAGTTTAACCGCATAAGTTTCTTTTTATTTATGAAAAATCATTTTAATTTCAAAGAGAAATAATTTAATATTTCTATCTTTTTGGATGACGTATGAAAAGGTTGAAAATATGAAGAGTGATGGTCTATATATGAATGGATGACGTATGGAGGGTGAAAAATATGAAGAGTAATGGCGAACGGAAAAATAAAAGTGTCCAGGAGCGGGAATCGAACCCACAACCTTCTGCTTACCGGGCAGGTGCCATGTCCACTAGTCTATCCTGGACGATATTTTTCCGTTCGTAACCATGAATGACACGGGTTTTTATGGTCGTTGAGCTTTGCACCACGCTGACGAAGGCCAACAGCCCGAAACGCGTACATGGTTAGCGCTTTTCTTGATTAATCAAGAGTGTTTATTTGTCCAATTCTGGAATAACTGAAAAAATCGACAAAATAGTTGATATTTATTCCGATAGATGACGCAAACCATCAGCAATTTTCAGTTTCACGATAAGTAGATGACTTTTTCTTAAAAAAAAAAAATAATAGTTGGCCTGTTGTATATATATTAATTAATTGTTACCACAGAGTGTGTGTAAGCTCACAGGTAAATAGGCGCTAACCGAAACAGTAAAAAAGTTCCTTTGTTCAATATTAGTTTCCCTTATATATTTTGTTCTCTCTCTTGTAAATCAATAAATATAATGTATAATTAATATAATTATTGGAATCAGTTTCATTAATAATTCTAAGCAAAGTCAACAATTGGGGTTTTATATTGAACAACCACGCTCTGCTACCATGGCCTTCTCAATTCAACCTTAGAATTCAATGATTGAGTATCCCTAGACCTTTCTTTTCAAACAATAATCTAACTAGAATATTTTTTTCAATTCACATTCAAATTGCTTTCATTTGGGGATTCAAAATCAAGTCTTGAATGAGTGTGTCTTTAGATCATAGTATCCCATAAAAATACAAAAATGTTATAATGATCTTTATGAAAGAAGATAAATTGTTACAACACATTGCCTCTGAGGATACGTTTAATTTATTTATTTCAACACACAAAACGCGATATCTCGGCTAGGGATAATTGCGTCGATTTACATTTTTTTAAAAACAGAAACAGTTATAACTTGAGTCAAAAGGCGATCCATTAATTAAGATTATATAAAAGGGCGTACCTGGATCTGTAAAGAAAAAAAAAAGACAATTTTTTCTTAAAATATTTCGAGAGATTGCTCCCTCTTTATCAATTTATTGCACAGTGAAAATTTAATTTACAAATTATTGTAGATCATATGAAAACAAATTTTGTTTAGGTATAACCATATTAAACACATTATAAGTTATAAACCTATTATACAAGAAAAAGTAATCAAAAAGAAAAGAAAATGAAATGTTTCTTGTTATATTTATATGATATCTCAAGCTTTCGAGTATTCCTCTTCTTCAGGAGTGTACAACGAAATGAATCCTAAAGAAGATGAATGTCTCAATGAGAGAATCCAGATAGACCCTTAGATAGACGGAGCTCCAACTTCAGCTCCAACACAGCCCATTCTATATCAAGACCTTCTGGGAATAACACAATAGGAACCTTTTCATTTCAAATCCACCTGCGATTTTTCATACCATCCTGAATACGTAATACACAGGTATCTTATAACAATGCGACAAAAGAAATCTAAACAATTTGAATATATTATAAAATAAATGAAGCTTTACAGGATTAAGTTTCTTGTGAAACTTTTTATTTTCAATTTTCAAAATTTTGTTTTACAAACAGAAATAATGTAATTTTTTTCCTCTTAATATATAATAAGTATTTAAAATATGTATATAAAAATTGTATTTATTATTTTGTTAATCAAATAAAGTAAAGCACGAAGGAAGATGAGTTTCTTCTACTGGCTAAAAAAAGGCTAAGAGATTCAAAGAGCCAGTAGAAGGACGTGTGGCCCGAAAGCCCGCTCGCGTTTATTAAAAAGAAACTCATCTTCCTTCGTGATTTACTTTATTTGATTATCTAAACAGGAAGCGTTCTATCGCTTATTATTTTGTTGTTAACGTGATAATCCTGTTAAAGGAATGACAAGTCCGAAATCTTGAAAATAAAAAGTTGTACAATAAACTTAACCCTGGAAGCTTTATTTATTTTATAATAATATAAATCAGAGAAGAACGTTTATTTATAATAAAGAGTTGAATGATGAATTTGAATATTTTTTCGATTGCTAGAAAAATTGTGTATGAAAATTAAACTATAACTAATTAATTGAGTAGACCTTTTGAGTTTGAAATTTAGATACCAAATAGAAGAGGGGTATAAACTGTTGATTTTCGATATATTCAAGATCCGGTATAGAATCCTGCATTGGTACTTTTCTTCTTTAAAAAAATTGCCTCAAAAACTCCCGATTCTTGCAGAAGTCCAAACCTACCAGCAAGTGCAAGTAACCAAACGTAGCTTTGGCACATTGGTAAGGACATAAAAGTCAAAACTTTCTACATATGTAGACAGGTGGTGTACTTACAGTAAAATCAGTCGCTAACTATCCATCATGATTATCATGGCCTTTACCCACGTGTACTAGGTATTTTACTTTTTTAAATTTAATTTTATTTAAAGATAATTAGAAGATTTAAAATGTATTTGTGTTCTTCACCAAAGTACACTACACAAATCTCATATATAGATGTTTATATATACAATTTAAAATGCCGGGCTCATCAGTGGTAAACCCTCTCAGAAATTTCACCAATTTAATGTACAATACCACTGTAATATTGTTGTGGCGAAGAAATAATTTATTATTTAATTTAATTATTCAATGAAAATATTTCGAAACAGATTTAAAATTTTACATTTTCTAAATCATCATTTAGTTACCTAGCTTGCTTGCTCGATATTCTCTAGCTGTAGATAGTTTGGTTGATAATTGTCAACTGGTCGTGGTGACGTCATCAATAAATACACTTACATCTTAAGATATACAAAAATACTTGATTTCTAAGCTACAATATTGTATTTGTAAAACGAAAATTGCAATTATACCGCAAATGTTTCTTCTAAACAAAAATCGAAATTTATTTTAAAGAGAAATAGCGATTATTTCTAACTTTAAGGATGAAGTATGCTACTTGTATTTTTCCGTTTGTCATTACCCTTCACAATTCATCCTATCATACTTCATCCTTAAAGTTAGAAATAATCGCTATTTCTCTTTAAAATAAATTTCGATTTTTGTTTAGAAGAAACACATTCGCGGTATAATTGTAATTTTCGTTTTATAATCATCAGCCGCGTTATATTGTATTTTAAAATATTGTATTTGGCTGTTTTTTTATACCGAAATTGAAGCTTGATTCTTGGAAAGTGTATTTTAAATGAACTATGGAAGCAAAGTAGAAATATGTTTTATTAAACATTATAACGTTAAATATAACGGATAATAGATGGCGTTCTAATATATGGTGGTGGTGGTACTGGGATAAGGTGCATAAATTATGAAAAAAGGCATCTCCTTATCGTGCAACTGAAAGTTGCTGATGTCTTGCGCCATCTATCGGAATAAATATCAACTATTCTCGTTGATTTTTTAAATTATTCCAGAATTGGACAAATACCCATTCTTGATTAATCAAGAAAAAGCTAACCACGGACGCGTTTCGGGCTGTTGGCCCTCATCAGCGTGGTGCAAGCTGCTGGTGGTGGTGCTTATCTCCATGGTTAAACCAATTCCTGAAGTCCGATCCTCTCCAATTTTGCAATGGTGCTAATATATACATCCTATCTTCCTACAGGTTAATAAGGGAGAAGGTTAAACAAAATCTTGCAACAACAACAACAGTACTGTTTACTAGGACTGTAATTAAGTGGTGTGCTAATGTCAACAACTTGGGAGTCATCAACAGATGGCTTGTTGTTTATGTACGGAGTCCTTAACCTTTATAACTCCCTTTATTCAGATATATAGGATATAAATTGACTATTATAAAATATCAAAAACCTTTGCAATATGTTTCTTTATTAAAACCTACTTTGTACATATACAGTCACGCGGTTTTCTTTATTCAACACCTGCTGAAGAGCATTGCTCGATGCAAACATTTGAATATAATGCTACTGTCCTATAAGCTTATGTCCATAGTTTACTTGAAAACCATTTCTAAGATTCCATCCTTCAGTGTAGTATATAAAAGCAGAATGATCCAATACAGTATTAGAGCTCTGAGAAGCGGTCTGGTGGATTAAATTGGCGAAACCGCTGGGAGGGTTCACCACTGATGAGCCAAGCCCTCCCAATATATTTTTTCATCGCAGTAAGGACAGTAGAAGTTCGTTTTATGTATAAAAGAAACATTCGCGCTTTTAAATCCTTTTATTTTATATGTATAGATGGCGCGTTATTGCTTTGTGTTAACACCTACCATAATTTAAAATGACATTGAGAAAGGATTTTCTATATCTCTAAGTAACAAATAATACAATTCTAACATAAAAGTTTTTGAAAAATGAAAAGACGTATTACATTTAAGATTACAATTATAAACCCCTCTCTCTCTCTCTGGTCCTGCAGCGCCGTCCGCCCTCTCATCCGAGAGGTGTTCTCCATCATCGGGCGGCCGCCGGACCTGCAATCCTGGATTTTCGCGGTGAACCTCGAGAACCACGCCATCACCATCTCCTCAGCGGCAAAGCATGCCATCTACGTCTTCTTCGTAGATCGCGAGATGCGTGGTATCGCTGGGGACCCATTGGCGATCTTCCATCAAACTCTGCAGCGGTGGCAGAGGCGCCATGTACATAGTTGTATTTTTTAATCATTTTTAAAATCATTTTTTATTATAACCATCATCCTCATTATAAATTTCTCATTTTCTCATAATCAGTGCGGACTGTGCACTTTACATGTATTGACATGATGTCAATAAAAATATGTCAATTGTCAATTGTCTCTCTCTCTCTCTCTCTCTCTCTCTCACTCTCTCTCTCTCTCTCTCTAGACTGATGAGGGCCATTAGCACGAAACTACAAGTTTGCAGGTGGACGCTTCTCAGTTTACCCAAACTGATGTTGTGACTTTGTTTACCGATCCGAGTCTGCAGAGATGGTCAATAGATGACGTCTATTTTTAACGTTTATTTTGACGGGAGAGGCAACCTTTTATTTTTATAGATATCTATCTTTCCCTAAATTTAATTTCATATATTTGTGTAAAAATTACTTTTACAAATATAATTTAAAGTGAATTAAAGGGGGGATTTTTTATGTTT